TGGAAAGTTAACATAAGGCATGGGGCACAAGGGGGAAAATTTTTGAAAGTGGGTAAAGATGTGTTTGGCCCAAGTGTGAAAAAAACCCCCGGGAAAAGAAATTTCCACTCACTTTTCCCCCCGTTCTGGAGAAGCTCCGCACATCCTCCCGACAGCAAGACCAAGTGTTTAGGGACTTCAATTTTATAGGGACTTCAATTTCATCACAGTAAGTTCTTGCCTGCTAACACCCACTTCCCCCCCAGCCCATGAACCCAGCCATTTCTAACTTTAAAAAACCTACACAAAAGCGTGTTTCCAAAAATGCTTTGAAGTGACTCAACACAAATTTTCCCTAAAGACAGTTTCTGGAGGATCACTTCACTACCTCCACGCAAAGCCCTTTTAGGTAAGCTTGGGAGGGATGATTTCCAGGGCTTTTAACTCTGTTTGGGGAAAACTGGGCCAATTGTTTTTAAAAAAGGGATTTTAGGGTTAAAGGGTGCCCCGACATTTTTGACCCGTGGACCTTTTGGGGCACGGGAAAGCCCTGGGGTTGGAGGTGGGGGGCAAGGATGTGGAAATTGTGGAGGACCACGGGGAAAGAGCTAACCACGAAGACTGCAAAGCTTCACTCAAGCACAACAGACGCAGCTGAGGAACTTGCTTCAGAGGAGGAGGAAGAGGGATGAAGGGGGCCCCTTCTTCAGAGTTTAAAGAGGGGGGTTGCAATGTGCCTAGGGTAAAAGCTTTTATAGAGAAACCCCACCCTGACAAAGTGAAACAAGCCAATCTGAAATTTTTTATGACAAAACCCTGTCCCACTTCAAAATTTTAGAGTCACCAGAAACAGTTACTCGGGCAGTTATTTTTGTGAGACGGGGGTCCCAGTGACTCCAAGCGGCCCTAGGGCATTAAAAACAGAAAGGGAATAACCCCAGAGGGGCTTGCTACCAAAGTCTTTAGGAAGGGAACCCTTTTTCTCCTCCCTTTCTTCCGAAACCACATAGCCTTCAATAATGTATGTAAAGCTTTCAAATTATTAAAAAAAAATTTTTTTTTGTAATATTTTTTTTTGGGAAGGGGTTTAATTTTATTTCCATTAATTTTTATGGAAATATTAAATTGGTTTTCACAATTTCGGTTATCGCCCACCTTCTGGAATGGATTGTGGCCGAAGCCGGGGGGCCACTGTATTTATACAGTAGGGTTCTTTATTTTTTCTTTTGCTATTTTTTAACATTCTCTAATTTATATCTAGGGGTTTTTTGTACCATGGAAAAAATGTAAAAAAACTATTTCGAAAGTTGTACCAGTTTACAAAACAATAGCCAATATTTAAAGTAATGCTCAGTAAGGGCTCCCTCAAAATTCGCATTTTTCCACTTTTGGGGCTTAGAACATTCAGAATTCCCCCCTGCCCAATCAATTTTAAAAAATTCATTACATATGTTGGGAATTGTGGCATTCAAGTCTGTTTGGGGGTAGTCCTTTAATATGACACAAAATTTAAAATTTATGGCTTTTTTATCTATCACAATTCTCTAAATGACATAATAAACAAATAATACATAAAACAGACATATCCTAGAATGAATAAAAAAAGCATTAAAGGGGTGTTAAGGGGGCACTGGACATTGGCCACAGGGGGTGGGGGCGGCAGCAGAGCAGAACGGCGGGTTGAATTTTCCCCCAAAACTCCAACAAAATTTTAGGGAAAGAGGGTTCCTACTGCCTTTTTTTACAATTTTCGCTTAAAATTATTTGCTACACGTTAATGCTAACTTTAACATGGGCTGGCGCTTACCTTTTTTTAATTTCTGCTGCTTTAGTACGTACATATCGTAAACACTAAAGGGAGCAATTCCTCCTCCTTTCCTCCTCCCATGGACTTTTCTCGAGTTCTTCTTGAATTCTGTAGTTTTTTTCACTTTTTTTACCCAAAAACGACCAAACAAAATTTTACATTTTTTTTGTTTTTTAGATTGTTTATGGTTTTTAAAAGGGTTTTAAAGGGAACAGTATTGATTATATTTCCCTACAATATACAGTGGACCCCCGCATAACGATGGCATCACATAGCGATTATTTCGCATACCGCTTACTTTAATCGCAAAATTTTTGCCGCGCATACCGATTAAAAACCCACTCACCGATTCTCGTCCGAGACGCGTCCAATGTGCGCCCTCAGCCAGCCTCACATGTGCCGCCCATGCATTGTTTACAGCCAGCCTCCGCGGTAACATCCAAGCATACACTCGGAATATTTCGTATTATTACAGTGTTTTCGGTGCTGTTTCTGGAAAATAAGTGACCATGGGCCCCAAGAAAGCTTCTAGTGCCAACCCTACACCAATAAGGGTGAGAATTCCCATTGAAATGAAGAAAGAGATCATTGATAAGTATGAAAGTGGAGTGCGTATCGCCGACCTAGTCAAGTTGTACAAGAAACCCCAATCAACCATCGCTACTATTGTTGGGCACCAAAAAGACAATCAAGGAAGCTGTTCTTGCCAAAGGTTTAACTGTGTTTTCGAAACAAAGATCGCAAGTGATGGAAGATGTTGAGAGACTCTTATTGGTGTGGATAAATGAAAAACAGCTAGCAGGAGATAGCGTCTCTCAAGCGATCATATGTGAAAAGGCTAGGAAGTTGCATGAGGATTTAATTAAAAAAAATGCCTGCAACTAGTGATGATGTGAGTGAATTTAAGGCCAGCAAAGGTTGGTTTGAGAGATTTAAGAAGCGTAGTGGCATCCATAGTGTGATAAGGCATGGTGAGGCTGCCATGTTCGGACCAAAAAGCGGCTGAAAATATGTGCAGGAATTCAAGGAGTACATAGAAAACTGAAGGACTGAAACCTGAACAAGTGTTTAATTGTGATGAAACAGGCCTGTTCTGAAGAAAATGCCAAGCAGGACCTACATTACTCAGGAGGAAAAGGCACTCCCAGGACATAAGCCTATGAAAGACAGGCTTACTCTTCTCATGTGTGCCAATGCTACTGGTGATTGCAAAGTGAAGCCTTTATTAGTGTATCACTCTGAAACTCCCAGAGCGTTCAGGCAAAAGAATGTCCTCAAGGATAATTTGTGTGTGCTGTGGAGGGCAAACAGTAAGGCATGGGTCACTAGGGAATTTTTCTATAACTGGTTACACCATGCATTTGCCCCAATGTGAAAGATTACCTAACTGAAAGAAATTAGAACTTAGTGCCTCCTGGTGTTAGACAATGCCCCTGGTCATCCTACAGACGAGGCAGAGCGACTTTATGGGGACATGAGCTTCATTAAGGTGAAGTTTTTGCCTCCTAATACCACTCCTCTCCTGCAGCCCATGGACCAGCAGGTTATTTCCAACTTCAAGAAACTGTACACAAAAGCTCTGTTTGAAAGGTGCTTTGTAATGACCTCAGAAACTCAACTGACTCTAAGAGAGTTTTGGAGAAGATCACTTTAATATCCTCAATTGTGTAAACCTTATAGGTAAGGCTGGGAGGAAGTGACTAAGAGGACCTTGAACTCTGCTTGGAGAAAACTGTGGCCAGAATGTGTAGACAAAAGGGATTTTGAAGGGTTTTGAGGCTAACCCTGAGAGGATTTGCCAGTTGAGGAATCCATTGTGGCATTGGGAAAGTCCTTGGGGTTGGAGGTTAGTGGGGAGGATGTGGAAGAGTTGGTGGAGGAGGACAATGAAGAACTAACCACTGATGAGCTGATAGATCAACTTCAAGAGCAAGAGGCCAGACCTGGGGAAACTGGTTCAGAGGAGGGGAGAGAGAAATTGAAGAAGTTGCCTACTACAAAGATAAAGGAAATCTGTGCAAAGTGGCTTGAAGTGCAAACCTTCATGGATGAAAATCACCCTCACACAGCTATTGCAAGCCGTGTTGGCAACCTGTACACTGACAATGTTGTGAAACACTTTAGGGAAGTCATAAAGGAACGAACCTAGGTAGTAGGTTGGTAGACAGCAACCGCCCAGGGAGGTACTACCGTCCTGCCAAGTGGTTGTAAAACGAAAGCCTGTAATTGTTTTACATGATGGTAGGATTGCTGGTGTCTTTTTTCTGTCTCATAAACATGCAAGATTTCAGGTACGTCTTGCTACTTCTACTTACACTTAGGTCACACTACACATACATGTACAAGCATATGTATACACACCCCTCTGGGTTTTCTTCTATTTTCTTACTAGCTCTTGTTCTTGTTTATTTCCTCTTATCTCCATGGGGAAGTGGAACAGAATTCTTCCTCCGTAAGCTATGCGTGTTGTAAGAGGCGACTAAAATGCCAGGAGCAAGGGGCTAGTAACCCCTTCTCCTGTATATATTACTAAATATGAAAGGAGAAACTTTTGTTTTTCCTTTTGGGCCACCCCACCTCGGTGGGATACGGCTGGTGTGTTGAAAAAAAAAAGAAAGAAAAATAAAGGAACGAGAGGTACAGGCCACTATGGACAGATATCTTGTGCGAAAGAAGTCCAGTGACTCTGAAGCTGGCCCTAGTGGCATTAAAAGAAGGGAAGTAACCCCAGAAAAGGACTTGCTACCTCAAGTCCTAATGGAAGGGGATTCCCCTTCTAAACAGTAAGAAGATAATGCTCTCCCCTCCTCCCATCCCATCAATCATCACCAGATCTTCAATAAAAGTAAGTGTCATGTAAGTGTGCATGCCTTTTTCAGTTTGTGTGTATTAAAATTAACATTTCATGTGGTAAAAAAATTTTTTTTTCATGCTTTTGGGTGTCTTGCATGGATTAATTTTATTTCCATTATTTCTTATGGGGAAAATTCATTCACATAACGATTATTTCGCATAACAATTACCCCTCTTGCACAGATTAAAATCGTTAACCGGGGGTCCACTGTATTGGGGCACCAAACACTCGCAATTTTTCAACATTCACAAGGTTCTTGATCCCCTAACCCTCGCGAATGTTGAGGGAGACCTATATTAAAGTAATCAAAGGTTTACACTTTTCAATACAAAATATATGGCTAATATTGGGTGCTGTTACCTGCGTAAGTTCCTTGGCGATTTCAATAAACAGTTTCTCTACATTGTCGGCTTCTTTAGCAGAAGTCTCAATGAAATACATGTTGTGGCGGTGGGCAAACTCTTCACCCACATGTGTGGGAAGCTCTCGATCTTCTCGGTCTGTTTTGTTTCCTAATGTTGAGCAAATGTTAGTTGGTTAATAATCTAATAAAAACAAACTATCCTCTAGGGCAGAGCTTCTCAAACTAACTGATGTGGCAGACTGGCAACTTGTTTTTCAGACTATCAAGGATTGGTATTGGATTGCCAACTTTGGAATACCAACATAAGACTAATTACAAGATTATACATTTTCCTTGAAGATATTAAAAAAAAAAAAAAATATTGCAATCTCTTATGAAAACCATAGCAATAATATTTATTTAACATACATTTTAAAACACCTAACCATGACTAGTGTGAAAAGTTAGCCTGTTCTTATTTACTGTAACTGGTTGCAAACCAGTGATGCTGCAGACTGGTGATTAGCAGCCTATGGCCCGAAAGCAGTTCACAGACTACCACTTTGAGAAGCATTGCTCCAGGATATCAAAAAATTCACAAGATTCACATTGTTATTTGAGTATATCTGAATCTCGTGAGGCTTTGTCAACTCATGCACTAACACCCATTATTTTATATAGAGCAAGGATAAGACAGGTTATAATTACTATTAATTATCATTATTAAAGCCATGTTAGTATTCCAATTCAATTATTAAATGGTATGAAAGAGCATCCACTAGTGGCATACAAATTTTAGTACGTACAGTTGTACTTATCAGTTATGTTAGTAATACAGTAAATTAATTGTGTGAAGGAAGCTTTCTCACCTGCTACCAACTGTAGAAGAATATATTAATTTCAAAAATATATTAAAATAAATTAATTATAAATAATAACATCTGAATTAACATTAAAAATGTTCCTTATAAATTAAATAAAATGAACATATTGTATGCTGTTTTCAATGAAGCAAAATACAAAAAACAGCAATTTATTGTATAGATAATGAACCTTGTTTACTTCACAGATGATGACATGCTATGTACCAGGTATGAACAAAGCTCAAGCTGGGCCTTCATACAGACAGAGAATGGTAAAGACAATAAGAACATGCACGAGACAGCCTCCACATACATGCTCCATGCAACTAGCCATTCTAAATTCACTCAATCCCACACATTTTTGTTCTATTATGAAGAACCTTATTACCCCCTCTTGCCCTCCCACCCCACACACAATGAAATTGGCAAATACTAAATGTGACAAACAATTTTAAATTTTGTCAGTGAATTGCATTTTAAGGAAAAGATGCAGAAATCTTCATATTCCATTTGAATACAGGTGTGACAAGGATCAAAAGATGTAACTCAAAGTATACAGATTCATTTAATAATTTTATTGTAATTGGGTTTTGCTATCTGATGACAGAACTGGAGTTTCACTTAGCTAAAATAAAAAACTAAAGTACAATATATTTAACCAAAGAAAAATTCCAATTTAAATCACTTGCATGGAAACTAAAATATTGGTAAAAAAATTTTTACAATGAAATCCCTAGAGTTTCACAAGTACAGTGGAACCTCGACTTATGAGTTTAATCCATTCTGTGACCTAGTTCATAACTCAATTTGCTGGTGTATCAAATCAATTTTCATCATTTAAATGTTCCAACAGAACTCCTGCTCTCAGGAGGCAGGACAAAATACTTCAATATGGCGCTAATATCAACTCTACGACTTATTTATCTATCACACTTTATTTAATATGATATAATAAACAATATAAATAACAGAAACATGATATATACTCTAGAACGAATAAAATATGTCATTATGTGATGAGTGGTGGTGGCCATTGCTGCTCCTGCACTGACCATATCTTCCCATTCTTCCCCTTCTGAAAATGGAGCATTTGTGAGGCTAACTACATTAGCTCACTAGTTTTATAAGGAAAACACTGAAACAATGCATTTATAAATAAGAAATATTTTATAAAAATATAATAGAGAAGGTAAAGAAATAAACTGGTTTTATAAAGTGTACGCACATATTTACCTGGGAGAAGAGATAGGCAGAGCGGTGTATGCCGTCAGTGGCCCACAACCACAGTCCGCACACCTCAACCTCACTTGTGTTTTTCTATGATTTCATGCTTTAATTCCATGATGATCATCTTTTTCTTTTCAGCACTGTCCTTTACACTTATGTACTTTCTTAGGACCCTTGGTTAGAAAAAAGAAATTTGGCAAAATAACTACAAAATTTTTTTTTTTGCAGAGGTGCTCAGAACACAACAGTTTAGAAGCATATACGTATAAAGATACACAACGTATCCCTCCAAACTGTTAATATCCCAAAACCCCTCCTTTAGAGTGCAGGCATTGTACTTCCCATTTCCAGGACTCAAGTCCAGCTATATAAAAATAACCGGTTTCCCTGAATTATTTATTTATTTATTATCGCACTGGCCGATTCCCACCAAGGCAGGGTGGCCCATGAAAGTTTTTCTTTTTCGGGCCACCCTGCCTTGGTGGGAATCGGCCAGTGTGATAATAAATAAATAAATAATTCAGGGAAACCGGTTGTTTTTATATAGCCAGACTTGAGTCCTGGAAATGGGAAGTACAATGCCTGCACTCTAAAGGAGGGGTTTTGGGATATTAACAGTTTGGAGGGATATGTTGTGTATCTTTATACGTATATGCTTCCCTGAATCCCTTCACTAAATATTACCAGTGAAGTGAAAATGTTGAATGATGATGAAAGTATTTTCTTTTTGGGGATTTTCTTTCTTTTTGGGTCACCCTGCCTCGGTGGGAGACGGCCGACTTGTTGAAAAAAAAAAAAATACAAAATGCAAGCTCCTCGTTGTTATTATTATTATTAATTTAGGGAACTGGAGCACAGATCCAATTCCCTAGATCAAGAGCCCTTCACCAGCATCAAGAAACCTTGATGCTGTTGAGGGGCTCTTGATCTAGGGAATTACATCTGTGCTCCAGTTCCCTAATAATAATAATAATAATAATAATAATAATAATAATAATAATAATAATAATAATAATAATTATAATAATAATAATAATAATAATGAAGAGCTTCAGAACGCCACCAACTCCATGCACTGTTTACCTCGCCGTGGAAGCATTTCTTTTGAATTTGCTTGCATTTTGTAGTTATTTTGCCAAATTTCTTTTTTCTAACCATGGGTCCTAAGAAAGTAAGTGCAAAGGACAGTGCTGAGAAGAAAACAATGATGATGTCCATGGAATTAAAGCATGAAATCATGGATAAACAAGCGAGGTGTGTGGGGGAAGCTCGCTTGTAACTCGGATGTTGGCTCGTAACTCAGAACAAAAACATCGTCCGAGCGATGCCTCATATCTCGAAAAACTCTTATGTTGGGACACTAAGTCGAGGTTCCACAGTAGTTTGATTTACAGAATATCATTCTTCATATAAAAAAATATATATTTTTAACATTATACTGTCATTTTCTCCCACTGTAAACTCAGATAAAACAAATCACAAGCTACAATAAAAATATACAGGCAGGCCCTGCTTTACAGCAATTCACTAATACAGCAGTTTTCAATTACAGTAGTCCCCAAGTATCTGCGGGGAATACATTCCAAGACCTATTGTGGATACTTGAAACTGTGGATTGTGGTGAACCCTATATATTAGTCATTTTTTCTTTACATTCATACCTATGATAAAGTTTAATTGACAAATTATTCACAATAAGTTGAGAATTAGCATTTTTTCACTGATGAGAAGCACTTCATGGCTTCTCTTAGGCTTTGAAGAACTGCCAACATCACTACTTTCACATTTTGGGACCATTATTAAGCAAAATTAAGGGTTATTGTCAGGCCATGGTAAACCGTGGATAACTGAAACCGCAGAAACCAAACCATGGATATGAGGAGTTCTATTGTATATCCATTCTTCATTTATTCAGACTTCCTACAATAAATATATTCACCACCCACTATAGATAATGATGAAAATATTTTAATGTAAGTAATGTGCGAGTGAGGTGAAAGTGTTGAATGATGAAAGTATTTTTTGTATGTTTTGTATGCAAATGTTCTAGGAAATAAACACGTGTTTGTGTTGTACACAGTGTGTCTCCTAAACCTTACAGTATAAAATACAATACTAACAGCATAAAAAGTAAAGTAAAAAATGAAATACCAAAATAAAACAATAAAATAAAATCATTACATAATGTGATGCCGATATTTAGTAGTAAGGTTCGACTTGCATCCATTATGCCTTACGACCAGTTAGTTGGAACCAAGTTCAGTTGTAAGTTGGACAGTAGGTGTATATGCAATTTTAGTGCCTACCTATATTGCTCACTTAATATATGATAGTGTAAATATGTTATCAGGCTTTTATGTCCATTTGAAGTGAGAAAAGTCTATGATTTACTTTACAGCAATTTTTGCTTTACAGCTGTAGCCCGGAATCTAACCCACTGAATAAGAAGGGCCCGTCTATAAATGAATCATTGTTGATAATCTTATTAGAAGTCATAAAAAAAATGCATTTAGTATTAAAAGTGATGTTGGTGAATACAGTAAAACCTTAGTTTAACATATCCCAATTTGACAGATTCTGATTTGACACTAAATATGTAGCTAAACAAGGCCCAAGACTAATGGATGAAGTCCATTAATCCTGTCCCTGTCTCATGTAGACATACCTATGTCACTCGCAAAAATCCATATCTAAATCACAGGCTCTCAAATATGCTGTAATCAGCAAATTTTGGCCTAGACATGAGAGAATGGGTCTGCGCAGTGGGTGTGCATATTATAAAAAAAAAACCTGCATCATACAGTGCATAATGGGAAGAGCTAGCCTCTAACTTTCTGTTTGGCTTAAAATAGCAACTTTGAGGTGCTTCCTAGTTTTTATGGTTTTATTGGCTGTTTCTTGGTATCAGTGTCAGACCAGAAGTGGCCTGGAATAGGCCTCAATCTATTACCATGGCCTATCAGCATCATTTTTGTGTCTTGACAAATTATGAAGGTTTCAAAAAATTTGCCTGGCATTTTTGGGGCATCTGAAGAATGTAGCCCTATTTTGCCCATGTGGTCATCAGTTTATTTTATGCTTTTTTAATTGATGCCATTTTCAGGAACGTAACTATCTTGAGTGTCTACTGCATTAAATCATTCTTTTTACTAAAACAATATACCCAATGCTACATTTAAATGATCACACACAATACTGTACTTCAATATATTTTTTGAGTAATATTATGATTGCTCTGAGACACGGTCAGAATTTAAATAAAAAAAAAATCCAAATTATTTATAAACAGAATATAAAGTGTACTGAGCAGTACAGTGCAACTTTGGTACTTAAACTTAATTCATTCCAGAAGGCTGTTCAAGTGACGATCATTCAAGTATCAAACAAATTTTTTCCATAAGGAATAATGTAAATTAGATTAATCCGTTTCAGACCCCCAAAAATACACTTACAGCAACTTTGTAGTGTATTTTTGTATGGTGTTTATGATTGTATTCTTGTTTTCTTGGTCTCATTTGATAGAATGAAAGATATATTACAAAAGACGATTTTGAATGGTTTACAGACTAAAAGTACCTTGAAACTGAGCTCAAAGTAACGGGAATGTTCGATTTTTGCTGGTGTTCAAGAGTAAACAAATCACATCATGCATCCAATACATGTCAATTGGTGGGTCTAATATGCTTTCACAAATGAGCTGATATTATTTATACCATTTTTCAATAATGCAGCAGTCTGCATAACAGTAAATCTTCTATTTTTTGTGTGAATAAAAATTCAAAATAGAAAGCAAGGGTTATATAAGAGGGGCCCAAAGTGGGAGGAACTATAGGAGAGAGAAGGAGGGGCCAGCAGAAGGAGAATTCAGTATCTGATAAGTCGTCTTGATAGCCGGATACATGGCGTGAACACAACGTGTAATTATGTTAATATTAGCAATAAAGGTTATCTATCACATTTATTCCAACTTGATATCAGAAACACGATAGATAACCTAGACGCACAATACAGATGCTGAAATTAATAATAAAAGGCATATTATATGGAGAGGCAGAGGCGGTGTTTACATCAGGGCAAACACACACTAACCAATTTTCTTTTTAGTTGGCTGACTTATTTATACAATAAAAAAAAAAAAATACGAAGAAGCACAAAATAGTTTACAGTGAATTTCAACAGAGTTTTGGACTGAGCGACAGCTGCAGGGAGACTGATGCACATGTTCTGGCAGATCGAGTTTGTTTGGCCGAGTGCCGAGCAAACAGTCAACCACTGAGCGATATTTTTACCGAACAAAGCATTCGAGTACTGAACTGTTCGAGTACCAAGGTTCCACTGTACTTTATATATTGATACAGCATACACATAGGTACTGTGATTCATAAAGACATACATTATGCATACACAGAAAATGAAATGAGGAAGGCAAACACATTACATAGCAAAGTAGAATAAGCAATAATATAAAACTACACAATACCGACAACTTTTTGAAAATCACCATATGTAATACCATAAACAGTACATAAATCCTGCTTCATACTTACCAACAAGTACTCTAAGAACCTTGCAGCTGGCATATTGTTCAATTTCTCGCAGCCAATCCGGTAAACAATCAAATGTAGGCTGTGAGGATATATCATACACTAAGATCAGAGCATGAGCTGAACGGTAATATGACTGTGTGATGGAACGAAATCTCTCCTGTCCAGCAGTATCCCAAATCTGAAGCTGTAAAGAGTGATTAATAAGTACATGAAAGCATTCTAAAATTTTAATCAAAAAGTACATGTGCAGAATCATTCTAACACCAAGGATTGCATAAAAAAATACAGAATGTATGACAAATGTAAATACTGTACTTGTAAAATATGAGGGATTGAGAGTTTCATTGTAGTCACAACATACATTAATATACAGTGGACCCCCGCATACCGTTGGCATCACATACCGTTTATTCCGCATACCGCTCACTTTAATCGCAAAAATTTTGCCTCGCATACCGCTCAAAAACCCGCTCACCGCTGTTCGTCCGAGACGCGTCCAATGTGCGCCTAAGCCAGCCTCACATGTTCCGCCGGTGGCATTGTTTACCAGCCAACCTCCGCGGTAGCATCCAAGTATACAATCGTAACATTTCGTATTATTACAGTGTTTTTGGTGATTTTATCTGGAAAATAAGTGACCATGGGCCCCAAGAAAGCTTCTAGTGCCAACCCTACAGCAATAAGGGTGAGAATTACTATAGAGATGAAGAAAAAGATCATTGATAAGTATGAAAGTGGAGTGCGTGTCTCCGAGCTGGCCAGGTTGTATAATGAACCCCAATTAACCATCGCTACTATTGGTGGTACAGCTGCTGCTGCTGCTGCACTGTCAGCTGCTGCTGCTGCTGTAGCATCGTCTGCTGCTGCTGTAGCACTGTCAGCTGCTGCTGCAGCATCGTCTGCTGCTGCTGTAGCATCGTCTGCTGCTGCTGCTGTCATTATGATCGGGAAAAGATTCTCTATCTTTTCATAAGAATTTTTTTTTTTTTTTTTTTTTTTTGAAATTTGGCCGACCTTGAGAACAAGTCTTGGAGAGGGCCTGTCAACCCTCAAAGGGTTAAAATTTCCCTGAAATGGGACACGACATTGTCATTGTACATGTTGCCAACACGGCCTGTAACAGCTTTGTCAGGGTGATGTTCATCCATAAATGTTTGCATCTCGCTCCACTTTGCACAAATGTCCATCTTTGAAGAAGGCACCTTCCTCCATCTCTCTTCCTCCTCCTCTGAAGCAACTTCCTCAGCTGTGGCCTGTTGCTGTTGCAGATGAAGGCCTTGCAGCTCTTCAGTGGTTAGCTCTTCACTGTGGTCTTCCATCAACTCTTCCACATCCTCACTACTCACATCCAATCCCATGGAAGTCCCCAATGCCACAATACTTTCCACAACTGCCATAGGCTCGTCAGGGTTAGCCCCAAACCCTTCAAAATCCCTCTCTTGGACACATTCTGGCCACAATTTTCTCCAAGCAAAGTTCAAAGTCCTGTAAGTCACTCCCTCCCAAGCCTTATCTATAAGGCTTAAGCAGTGGAGGATACTGAAGTGATCTTTCCAAAACTCTTAGGGTCAAGTGAGTGTCTGGGATCACATCAAAGTACCTTTGAAACACTGCTTTGGTGTATAGTTTTTTGAAGTTTGAAATGATCTGGTCCATGGGCTGGATGACAGGAGTGGTATTAGGGGGTGAGAACTTCACTGTGATGAAATTAAACTAATTCACCATTTACTCTTCCAAGGAGGCACTTGAGTTCCAATTTACTTTCCAGGAGGTATTTCTTCACACTGGGGCCAAACACTTCATTGAACCAATCAAGGAAAATGTCTCTCATGACCCATGCCGAGCTGTTTGCCTTCCATGTCACACACAATTTACTCTTGGCAACACTGTTTTTCTTGAACAGTCTGGGATTTTCAGAATGATACACCAGGCCTGTTTCATCAAAGTAAAGGCTTCACTTTCAAATCCCCACTAGCATTACTACAGAACATGAGAGTTTGCCTGTCTTTCATAGGCTTGTGTCCTGGGAATGCCTTTTCTTCCTGGGTGATGTAGGTCCTCTTTGGCATTTTTTTCCAAAAGAGGCCTGTTTCATCAAAACTGAACACTTGCTGGGGTTTGAATTGTTCAGCCTCCATGATGGTAGGATTGCTGGTGTCTTTTGTCTGTCTCATAAATATGCAAGATTACAGGTACGTCTTGCTACTTCTACTTACACTTAGGTCACACTACACATACATGTACATGTTTATTTATACACAGTCATCTGAGTTTTCTTTGATTTTATCTTAATAGTTCTTGGTCTTATTACTTTTCCTTTTATATCCATGGGGAAGTGAAATAAGAATCTTTCCTCCGTAAGCCATGCGTGTTGTAAAAGTCAACTAAAATGCCGGGAACAATGGGCTAGTAACCCTTTTTCCTGTAAAGATTACTAAAAAGAATAAGAAGAAGAAAACTGTCAAAGTGGGAAGTCTGAATGTGAGTGGATGTTGTGCAAATGATAAGAAAGAGATGATTGTGGATGTTATGAATGAGAAGCAGCTGGATGTCCTGGCTTTAAGTGAAACAAAGCTGAAGGGGGTGGGAGAGGTTCAATGGAGAGGAATAAATGGGATTAGGTCAGGGGTTTCAAATAGAGTTAGAGCTAAAGAAGGAGTAGAAATAATGTTGAAGGATAACCTATGGCAGGAAAAGAGGGACTATAAATGTATTAATTCAAGGAGTATGTGGAGTAAAATAAAGACTGGATATGAAAAGTGGGTTATAGTAAATGTGTATGCACCTGGAGAAGATAGAAGTGTAGAGGAGAGAGAGAGATTTTGGGAAATGTTGAGTGAATGTGTGGGGAGTTTTGAATCAAGTGTGAGAGTAATGGTGGTTGGGGATTTCAATGCTAAAGTGGGTAAAAATGTTATGGAGGGAGTAGTAGGTAAATTTGGGGTGCCAGGGGTAAATGTAAATGGGGAGCCTTTAATTGAGATATGTGTAGAAAGAGATTTGGTAATAAGTAATACATATTTTATGAAAAAGAGGATAAATAAATATACAAGGTATGATGTAGCACGTAATGAAAGTAGTTTGTTAGATTATGTATTGGTGGATAAAAGGTTGATGGGTAGGCTCCAGGATGTACATGTTTACAGAGGGGCAACTGATATATCGGATCATTATTTAGTTGTAGCTACAGTTAGAGTAAGAGGTAGATGGGAAAAGAGGACGGTGGCAACAACAAGTAAGAGGGAGGTGAAAATGTATAAACTAAGGGAGGAGGAAGTTCAGGTGAGATATAAGCGACTATTGGCAGAAAGGTGGGCTAGTGCAAAGATGAGTAGTGGCGGGGTTGAAGAGGGTTGGAATAGTTTTAAAAAATGCAGTATTAGAATGTGGGGCAGAAGTTTGTGGTTATAGGAGGGTGGGGGCAAGAGGAAAGAGGAGTGATTGGTGGAATGATGAAGTAAAGGGTGTGATAAAAGAGAAAAAGGCAGCTTATGAGAGGTTTTTACAAAGCAGAAGTGTTATAAGAAGAGCAGAGTATATGGAGAGTAAAAGAAAGGTGAAGAGAGTGGTGAGAGAGTGCAAAAGGAGAGCAGATGATAGAGTGGGAGAGGCATTGTCAAGAAATTTTAATGAAAATAAGAAAAAATTTTGGAGTGAGTTAAACAAGTTAAGAAAGCCTAGGGAAAGTAAGGATTTGTCAGTTAAAAACAGAGTAGGGGAGTTAGTAGATGGGGAGATGGAGGTATTAGGTAAATGGCGAGAATATTTTGAGGAACTTTTAAATGTTAAGGAAAAAAAGGGAGGTGGTAATTTCATGCACTGGTCAGGGAGGTGGGGGATGTACGCGAGGCATTACGTAGAATGAAAGGGGGTAAAGCAGCTGGAACTGATGAGATCATGACAGAAATGTTAAAAGCAGGGGGGGATATAGTGTTGGAGTGGTTGGTACTTTTGTTTAATAAATGTATGAAAGAGGGGAAGGTACCTAGGGATTGGCGGAGAGCATGTATAGTCCCTTTATATAAAGGAAAAGGGGACAAGAGAGATTGTAAAAATTATAGAGGAGTAAGTGTACTGAGTATACCAGGGAAAGTGTACGGTAGGGTTATAATTGAAAGAATTAGAGGCAAAGACAGAATGTAGGATTGCGGATGAGCAAGGAGGTTTCAGAGTGGGTAGGAGATGTGTAGATCAAGTGTTTACATTGAAGCATATATGTGAACAGTATTTAGATAAAGGTAGGGAAGTTTTTATTGCATTTATGGATTTAGAAAAGGCATATGATAGAGTGGATAGAGGAGCAATGTGGCAGATGTTGCAAGTATATGGAATAGGTGGTAAGTTACTAAATGCTGTGAAGTTTTTTTATGAGGATAGTGAGGCTCAGGTTAGGGTGTGCAGATGAGAGGGAGACTACTTCCCGGTAAAAGTAGGTCTTAGACAGGGATGTGTAATGTCACCATGGTTGTTTAATATATTTATAGATGGGGTTATAAAAGAAGTAAATGGTAGGGTGTTCTGGAGAGGGGTGGGATTAAATTATGGGGAATCAAATTCAAAATGGGAATTGACACAGTTACTTTTTGCTGATGATACTGTGCTTATGGGAGATTCTAAAGAAAAATTGCAAAGGTTAGTGGATGAGTTTGGGAATGTGTGTAAAGGTAGAAAGTTGAAAGTGAACATAGAAAAGAGTAAGGTGATGAGGGTATCAAATGATTTAGATAAAGAAAAATTGGATATCAAATTGGGGAGGAGGAGTATGGAAGAAGTGAATGTTTTCAGATACTTTGGAGTTGACATGTCGGCGGATGGATTTATGAAGGATGAGGTTAATCATAGAACTGATGAGGGAAAAAGGTGAGTGGTGCGTTAAGGTATATGTGGAGTCAAAAAATGTTATCTATGGAGGTAAAGAAGGGAATGTATGAAAGTATAGTAGTACCAACACTCTTATATGGATGTGAAGCTTGGGTGGTAAATGCAGCAGCGAGGAGACGGTTGGAGGCAGTGGAGATGTCCTGTCTAAGGGCAATGTGTGGTGTAAATATTATGCAGAAAATTCGGAGTGTGGAAATTAGGAAAAGGTGTGGAGTTAATAAAAGTTAGTCAGAGGGCAAAAGAGGGGTTGTTGAGGTGGTTTGGTCATTTAGAGAGAATGGATCAAAGTAGAATGACATGGAA